GGGGGGGAGGGGGGTCGGGCGACGCTTCACCAAGTATGACCATTCTTGCCAGTTGTCTTCTCAATTCAACTCCTCCGGGACGGTGTTGATGATGATTCTGGTGACGACAACAGCTGCTTCTGCCATTTCTGTAGGTTCTGCTGACAGAGTTGTACACAATTCGTATCTTTCCCTTTCATCTACTGCCACGTGTCCTCATGACTAAGCCTTCTTATGGTGGCCTTTCGAGGTTGGGGCAGCTTGAACATCACACTTCAAATCCCGAAGCCCAGGGAGGAAAGCTTTCAGTATAATATACTATGCTATGCTATCCTTTATTATACTTTGTTATACTATACTATACTTTACTATACTGTACTGCACATTCGTATGTTCTGTTATACTATCTTATGCTATGTTTTACTGTATTATTCTGTACTATACTATGCGATACTATACCATACTGTACGACACTATCTATACTAAAGTATACAATACTCCTGGGTGGGCGCAATCAGGTCGCACTCTTGTGAACTGAGATGGAATTGCTTTCTAAAATGCATAACTGCAGAAAGTTTGGGGCATGCAAACCCTGATGAGTCATCAGCGCTTACTCTTGTGAACTGGGGCGGAGTTGCTTTCCAAATACATGACGGCAGAATGTTTGGGGCATGGAAACCCTGATGCGGCTGATGCTGATGATGCTCGGTTGCTGGTGGTACTCTCGTGAACTGGGATTGAATTTCTTTCCCAATGCATGACGGCGGAAAGTTCGGGGCATGGAAACCCTGATGCGGCTGATACTGATGATGCTCGGTTTCGGGTGGGGCGCCATCAGCGCGTACTCTTGTGAACTGGGACGGAGTGGCTTTCCAAATGCATGACTTCAGAAAGTTTGGGGCATGGAAACCCTGATGCGGCTGATGCTGATGATGTGCGGTTGTGGGTAGGCGCCATCAGCACGTGCTCTTGTGAACTGGGCCGGAATGGCCTGCGAAATGCATGACTGCGGAAAGTCTGGGCCGTGGAAACAGTGATGCAGCTGATGCTGATGATGCTCGGTTCCGCGTGGGCGCCATCAGCACGTAGACTCTTGTGACGTGGGACGGAATTGCTGTCCAACCGTGGAAAGGTTGGGGCATGGAAGCCCTGATGCGGCTGATGCTGATGATGCTCGGTTTCGGGTGGGGCGCCATCAGCGCGTACTCTTGTGAACTGGGACGGAGTGGCTTTCCAAATGAAAGTTTGGGGCATGGAAACCCTGATGCGGCTGATGCTGATGATGCTCGGTTTCGGGTGGGGCGCCATCAGCGCGTACTCTTGTGAACTGGGACGGAGTGGCTTTCCAAATGCATGACTTCAGAAAGTTTGGGGCATGGAAACCCTGATGCGGCTGACGCTGACGATGTGCGGTTGCAGGTAGGCGCCATCAGCACGTGCTCTTGTGAACTGGGCCGGAATGGCCTGCGAAATGCATGACTGCGGAAAGTCTGGGCCGTGGAAACCGTGATGCAGCTGATGCTGATGATGCTCGGTTGCGGGCGGGGGCCATCAGCACGTAGACTCTTGTGACGTGGGACGGAATTGCTGTCCAACCATGGAAAGGTTGGGGCATGGAAACCCTGATGCGGCTGATGCTGATGATGCTCGGTTGCTGGTGGTCGCTATCAGCGCGTACTCTCGTGAACTGTCTTGTGAACTGGGACGGAATTGCTATGTAAATGCATAACTGCAGAAAGTTTGGGGCATGCAAACCCTGATTGATGAGTCATCAGCGCTTACTCTTGTGAACTGGGGCGGAGTTGCTTTCCAAATACATGACGGCGGAAAGTTTGGGGCATGGGAACTGGGAACCCTGATGCGGCTGATGCTGATGATGCTCGGTTGCTGGTGGTCGCTATCAGCGCGTACTCTCGTGAACTGGGACGGAATTTCTTTTCAAATGCATAACGGCGGAAAGTTTGGGGCATAGAAACCCTGATGCGGCTGATGCTGATGATGCTCGGTTGCTGGTGGTCGCTATCAGCGCGTACTCTCGTGAACTGGGACGGAATTTCTTTCCAAATGCATGACGCCGGAAAGTTTGGGACATGGAAACACTGATGCGGCTGATGCTGATGATGCTCGGTTGCGGGCGGGTGCCATCAGCTGGCACTCTTGTGAACTGGGACGGAACTGCTTTCTAAATGCATAACTGCAAAAAATTTGGGACATGTAAACCCTGGTGAGTCACAAGCGCTCACTCTTGTGAACTGGGTCGGAGTTGCTTTCCAAATGCATGAGTGCGGAAAGTTTGGGGCATGGAAACCCTGATGCGGCTGATGCTGATGATGCTCGGTTGCTGGTGATCTCTACCAGCAAGTACTCTCGTGAACTGGGACGGAATTTCTTTCCAAATGCATGACGGCGGAAAGTTCGGGGCATGAAAACCCTGATGCGGCTGATGCTGATGATGCTCGGTTGCTGGTGGTCGCTATCAGCGCGCTCTCTCGTGAACTGGAACGGAATTTCTTTCCAAATGCATGACGGCGGAAAGTTTTGGGCATGGAAACCCTGATGCGGCTGATGCTGATGATGCTCGGTTGCTGGTGTTCGCTATCAGCGCGTACTCTCGTGAAGTGGGACGGAATTTCTTTCCAAATGCATGACGGCGAAAGTTTGGGGCATGGATACCCTGATGCGGCTGATGCTGATGATTTTCCGGTTGTGGGTAGGCGCCACCAGCACGTGCTCTTGTGAACTGGGCCGGAAGTGCTTGCGAAATGCATGACTGCGGAAAGTTTGGGCCGTGGAAACCGTGATGCGGCTGATGCTGATGATGCTCGGTTGCTGGTGGTCGCTATCAGCGCGTACTCTCGTGAACTGGAACGGAATTTCTTTCCAAATGCATGACTTCAGAAATTTTACGCCGTGGAGACCCTGATGCGGCTGATGCTGATGATGCACGGTTGCAGGTGGGCGCCATCAGTGCATACTCTCGTGAGCAGGAACGGAATTTCTTTCCCAATCCATGACGGTGGAAAGTTTGGGGCATGGAAACCCTGATGCGGCTGATGCTGATGATGCGCAGTCCCGGGTAGATGATGGACGAATACGCCTACTGCTACTACATCTTCCTTTCAGTACAAAACAACACAACGGTACAAAGTGGAATATGCTGTGATAGAAACGATTGCAGTTGAAGTTCTGAAGAACAGACGGCCCTGTCGATACGAGGAATCGCAACCCTGATTTGACTAATGATATCAACAGTGATCCTGATTTTGCAAGTATACAGATCATGTGAATCAGATTCCCTTAACTGCCCTAAACCCTAAGCCCTGAACCTTTAAACCCTAAACCCTAAACCCTAAACCCTGAACCCTAAACCCTAAACCCTAAACCCTAAGCCCTAAGCCCTGAACCTTTATCATTGTCCATTTGCCGTCTGCTCGGCCAGAAAGAGCTGCGGCCAGCAGCTTCTACCAACAACGCGCAGGCGAAGCTGGAGGTCCGGAGCGTGTGATTGGAAGGGTCTGTAGGGTTTAGGGTTTAGGGAGCGGTTTAGGGTTTAGGGTTTAGGGTTTAGGGAGCGTGCGATTGGAAGAGTCTGTACTTGCAGGTTCATGGGTAACTATAAGTAGGGTCATAAGTTTCCTAATATGGCATATGGGTTACAACCATAGTTGCCCTACTTATACCCATGAACAGTACAGCACGAATGTTGGATGTTGAGTAGTGCACCCCGTCACTTCAAAGTTCTTCGCTTGCCCGAGATGTCCTCCTAAAATGATCTGAGAATGGAGTTAGTAATAGCAACAACAATAGTACTAGCAGTAGGAATAGGAATCGTAATCGGAATAAGAAGAGGAGTAGGAAGATAGTAGCAGCACGAGCACAGGGAGTAGTGATCGTACTAGTAGTATTACCAGGACCAGTGATAGGAATAGTCATAGTAGTACAAAGCTGAATAGCTTCGAAAGCAGTGGTTACAAATTCATAAATCAGGCTGGAAGAACTTTACATTGTTATTAGGTCCCTCCAAAAGAAATCCCGCGAAACTGTACGTTGTCGCCCCCCCACCGACTGTCTAGCCTGCCTTTGGCATGACACATCCCCATAATATCCTTAAATACCCCTGCTCGTGCTTCTTCTCGCAGTCCCTGCTTGGCCAGCACCCGTTTCTGTTTGACAATCAACTGTTGATACGAAGCCTTCAGCCCTAAAAACTTAATCCTAAACCCTTAAAATCCTAAACCCTAAACCCCTAAAATCCTAAACCCTAAACCCTTAATCCTAAACCCCTAAAATCCTAAACCCTAAACCCCTGACTCCATAAAGTTCCTAATTCCCAGCACAATCGTGAGGCTCTGAAGCAGCGACTTAGCTGCACTCGGGAAGGGATGGTGTCGGTCTTTCGGGTTTGGGGGGTTCCTTGTTACAACTACATTAAAGTATAAGATAGCCCCAACCCCCAAACCCTAAACCCTAAACCCTAATAGTATAAGATAGCCCCAACCCCAATTCTAGTTATTAAGGCCCCTATTTTCACCCCCCGCAACCCAACTCCAGAATCCGAGACTGCAGAGCTATGGTTCAGGGGTTTGGGGTTTGGGGCTTTAGTGGCTTTAGTGGCTGAGGGTTTTGGGATTAAGGGATTTAGGGGCTTAGGGCTTTAGTGGCTGAGGGTTTATGGATTTTTTTGGATGCAGGGGCTTAGGGCTTTAGTGGTTGAGGGTTGAGGGTTTAGGGTTTGGAGCCGAATCATTGGGTTGACCTATCGCTTCGATTCATTCGATCCTGGAACTTAAACCCTCTGCAAGAAGTTGGACTTGCCTTAAGCTCAAAACCAAAAATCGATCCACATTTCAAGCCCCAAATGTCAAGCCCTAACCCAAAAAGGATCTTAAAAGAGGTTTTAGGGAGTGCAAATCCAGGCTCAAACGAAACGGCAATCCGGGTCCGTGGTCGGAAAATCACAAGGTTTTTCGCGGAGTTCCTCGGTGAACCACAGTGGGGGTGGGGGCCAACCACCCTCACGGAAGAAGAACGACAACTCTTGAAGGACTTGCCCCCGCTTGGCTACACCGCCCGCAGAACCTCCTTCTCCTTCCGCTACACAAGAACTTACAGGTGTCATCAAGGACTTAAAGTGTAATAAAGCCCCCGGACCAGACCGCCTCACAGCTGAGGCGCTTAAGGTGCTAGATCACGTTCGTAGTCGAGGCAGAGTTACTTGAAGTATTGAACGCCTGCTTTACCTCGAAAGCGGTGCCCTCAGCATGGAAAGAGGCTAACATAGTCAGGATTTCCAGGGGCAAGGGTGGTGACTCGGACCCTGCATCGTGCCGCCCTATATCCCTACTGAACGAGTGTACAAAGTATACGCCGCGCTGTGGCAACGACGCAGATCTTAGAAAGACAAAGTATACGGTTTCCGAGCCAATCGCAGCAGTGTCCAACCACTGTTCATACTTAGGAGGTTACAGGATTATTGATATTATTCGTTGACCACGGGTCAACCCATGCACGTTGTTATGCCAGACTGGAAAATGGCGTTCGACAAGGTAGATCACAAAGCGATGTGCACAGCCATAGAGCGTGTCGGAGTACACCGCCACTGCGTTGATATCATTCGAGATCTTTATAAGGATCAAACCTTCAACACGCTTGGCATGCAAGGCACCACCACACAGGCTAAACCGCACTCAGGACTTAGACAGGGATGCCCACGGATCGATACCGGTTCATTATGGTTATGACGGTTCTGATGTTTGATGTAGATCGTAGACTTCGCGTACATGGGGTTCCAGCCAACACGCGGTCAGTGGGTAAACCCATCTACGATCTGGAATACGCAGATGACACTTTATTATTGGCCGTGACTAAACCGCAGGCAGAAGAATTTCTCAGAACCATACAAGTAGAATCCTCGCTATATCGCTTACCTCTCAACCTTAAAAAAACTCAATGTCTCACCCACCCGCAAGCTCCTCTCCTCCGGGGGACGTGCACTACGTAAATGGGGACGCGGTCGTAAACAGTGAAGAAGCCAATTATCTTGGATCCCAAATCATATGGCGCAGAAGGCATAATATCAAGACCAAAGTGAAGTTGTTTACGGCCAGCATAGTCCCCGCGCTTCTATACAGATTAGAAGTACTCATGCTCAAAAACAAACCTTTAACAACCATAGATGCCTGTTCCATCTATGTATAAATGTTGAAGCATCATACTGTTCACATGTCACCAACGAAAGAGTCTGGAAAGTAGTGGGTAGGCCCGCCTTACCCTCGCAGTCTCTCCGCACTCGACAGCTACAGCAGCTTACGGATATATTGGCTAAGCCGCTGACAAACAGACCCCACGCACAATGTCGTATTTTCTCTAGGATACAGGGATGGGGTCAAATTTACGAAATCCAACATAGAGGACATGCCTGCCGCCATTGGTTCGAACTCACGGTCGAACGAGCGCCACCAATATACCACCGTTACCTTGACCACGCCGCCCCTTCCCCTCAACAGTTCAAAGATTTCAGACAGGATCTTTTGGGAACTAAACAGATGTTACAAAATAACGCGAATTTCAAATCACAGCGCCGACGCGCCAGCCAGAGTTACTCCGTTTTGTACAATGTTTTGTCGGGACATGGCAGCCTTACAAATCCACAAAAGCAATACCTCAAACGATCCAAAACCTGACACTCCTGAGCCTTAAGTCCGGCAAATGCAAGCCCGGGACTTTTGAGAAAAGCCAAGCAAAAAGGGTCGAACTTTTGTGAACAAAGCCCTGGGCTGTTTTGGAAAGCACCTTAATCTTCTATCATAATATCAACCTTAGTTACTTAAATGCCAAGCGAGATGTACAAAAACATGCTCCAACTCTCAAAGCGTGTTGGTTTTCTTGGGTTCTATGTGTGGAGACGGCACGAATCTCTTATTGGAAAGCCTTAACACCTAGACCTTAACCGCCTAAACCCTTAAAGCCCCAAGCCCTTTGATCCCAAAATCCTACTCCCCCCAACCCCTAAACCCCTACACCCGAAACCCCAAACCCAAACCCCAGGAAATGCTCAAGAACCTGAGTAACAGTACTAATCGCAATAGTATTAATAGTTCAACTAATAGTACAAATAATAATGGTAATAATGGTTTTAATAATGACAATAGTGATTATACCGATTATTGCTATTATGATGATGATGATGATTATTATTATCAGTGTTATTGCTTTTTGTTGTTACTACTACTGTTATTAGACCGTTCTTATTATTACAGCCTCCAGGAAGGCACTACTTGGTCGGCGCGCCTCCCTGCCGGTGAGTTGGGCGAATCCCCGCGCCGTTCCTTGGACGTCGAGATGATTAGGGTTTAGGTACTATACTTTGTGTTTAGGGTTTAGGGTTTAGGGATTAGGGTTTAGGGCTTGTAGTTTATATCTATAACAGGGTCTATATCTATAGTAGGGTCCTTTAAGGAGTCCTCTAAGGAGTCGGGGTTCTAGAGGGCTAAGAGTGAGGGTTTCAGGATTTCAGGGTTTGGGGGTTTAGGGTTTCAGGGTTTGGGGTTTATGGTTGAGGGTTTATGGTGTTAGGGTTTTAGGCTTTGGGGGTGAGGGTTGTAAGTTTACGATTTTAGGGTTTGAGAATTTAGGTTTTTGAGATTTTAAGGTTTTCGTTGGGAATGTTGTTTCCTAGAATGATGGTATTCGGGATGCTGCTCAGGCTGCCATGCTCCTATGCCGGAGACTGGCAAGCACATCCCAAACCCAAAGCCCTCAAAGCCGAGACCCTAATCCCAAGCCTCCAAATCCCACGCCGGAACTTCCAATTCGACATCTTGACCCTAAACCCTAAACCCTAAACTCTAAACTCTAAGCCCTAAACTCTAAACCCTAAACCCTAAACCCTAAACTCTAAACCCTTTACTAAACCACCAAACCCCAAAGCGGAGCCTGAAACCATGCGAACCCAGTCGGAGTCCACTGGAGCCGGTGAGTCGAAGATACCGTCGGTGGGTTCGTTCAGAAGCGCTTCGTTCCTTGGGTGCAGATACTCGGGGGGGGTTTAGGGTTTAGGGTTTAGGGTTTAGGGGTTCATGCGATTCTGGGTTTGCGAGGGAAGCTTCAAGTAGGCTCCATAGAAGTGCACTTGCTTGCAGTTTTGGGTGGGGCGAAGTCTGCAAATTTGAACTTGGTCGACCTTTCAGTGGTCTGTCTTCGGGGAACTAATTGGCAGCAGCTTGCCGCTTCGAACCGCTACTGCTACGGCTGCTGCTGCTGCTACTCTGCTACTTTTGCTCCTCCTCCTCCTCCTCCTACTGCTACTACTACTACTACTACTACTACGACAGCTGCTAGTACTACTGCTCCGTTTCCGGCTCTTACTTCTGCCCTAGTAGAAATGATACCAGCTCGTCGTCGGCTGGTTGTCCTCAGGAAGGGGCGGCAAACTCTGGACACGAGCAGGGCACTACTTCCCAGTCGTTCGCTGCTCGGCAGAGTCTTAAGTTTTTGCCTGCTGATTCCAGTAGCAATCAGACCCTCCTAGGGCTTTGTTTGCAGACTTTGCGTTTTGCTTTGGTAGAATGAGAGCATTAGCGACAGCGGCGAGTAGGAGCTTCGGTAGTAGCAGAGGCAAGCATAGTCGTCGCAGTAGCAGCTGCAGCGGCACAGGCAGACAGCAGAAGCAGTGGCAGCTGGAGTGGGTGGCAGTCTTCGCCTTCGTCGCAGTAGAAGTAGGAAAAGTTGAAGCACGATGCAGGTGCTAATATCGCACAACGTGTAGACGTAATCTCAGTTCGAGCGGCAAAGGTACTGCGAATAGCAACCATATAAACAACAATATGAATGACTGCACGAAGCAGCAAAAATCGCCAGATCACCAGTGACTACAGCGTGCCATCGTGAGGCACAAGTAGCCGGAAAGTACGCCGTCAAGTCACCTGGAGTAGTAAATCTCGAAGCCTTTTCCTAAACTCTAAACCTTAAATCCTAAACCCTCAACCGAAGACAATGAACCCTAAGCCCCAGACCCTTAAACCCCTTAAGCCTCAAAGCCGCTAAACCACAGACCCTAAAACAAAACCCTAAACCCAAAGCCCTAAACCCTAAACCCTAAACCCTCAACCCTGAACCCTAAGCCCTATACCATAAACCATAGACTCGAAGCCGAGTGCTTTCTCGGAGCGCTCTGCAGCTGCTGAGCTTCCCCCGAGGTTTGTGCAGGCGGCAGCCAGCCAGGTGAAGCTTGGCTTCAAAGAGTTCAGAGGGTGTAGGGTTCAAGATTTAGGGTTCAGAGGGTGTGTAGGGTTTAGGGTTCAAGGCTTAGGGTTCAAGATTTAGGGTTCAGGGCAGTTTAGGGCAGTTTCGGGTTCAAGATTTAGGGTTCAGAGGGTGTAGGGTTCAGGGTTCAAGGTTTAGGGTTCAGAGGGTGTAGGGCTTAGGGTTCAATAGGGTTCAAGATTTAGGGTTCAGAGGGTGTAGGGTTTAGGGCAGTTTAGGGTTCAAGATTTAGGGTTCAGAGGGTGTAGGGTTTAGGGTTCAAGGCTTAGGGTTCAAGATTTAGGGTTCAGGGCAGTTTAGGGCAGTTTAGGGTTCAAGATTTAGGGTTCAGAGGGTGGAGAGTTTAGAGGGTTCAAGGTTTAGGGTTCAGGGCAGTTCAGGGCAGTTTAGGGCAGTTTAGGGTTCAAGATTTAGGGTTCAGACAATTGCATGGCTAGCCCAAACATCCACAGCGATTCTGAAATACGAGTGTGGTAGCATTCCGAAAGAGCAAGGCATAGCAGCAACACATCGTGGATGAGTGTATATCATGAAGTTGTTGGGGTGCAATGCTTGGATTCCAGTCCCGATGTTTCAGAGCTACTGAAGCACCGGGATAAGCTAAAGCCCCGAAGCTTTGAAAGCTAGCGCGCCAGACTTCCACCATGCATAAAATCCCACAGCCCAGCTAAGGAGAGAGGATATCAGCGACCAAGAAAGCACAGGAGCCTAGTGCCTGCTGCTGCACAAAACAGCTTCCAAATGCTTGTCAACCAAAGCGGTGGAAAGCAATGTGCTCATGGGAACAGCAGCACCTGCATGACAAGTAACATTAGTAACAACTTGTGTAGTATTGCTGATAGCTCCAATCTCCTATTCTAGATTCTTTGGCCTCTCTGGACACTAGGGTTTAAAGTCCTTTGTTCTGGGAGGAGACGTCCGAACGTTTTTCAGCAGGTATTGAAGAGCCCCCTGTCCATTGTACCCGATTTAAGCCAAAAGCCCTAAACCTGCCAGGCTGTAGTATCGGAAGAGGACGCAGTCGCAAAAAGGAGTTCAACAAAAGCCAAAACCCTAAACCCAAAAACCCCTAACCCACACCAACCCTAAACCCTAAACCCACCACATGCAGGAACCAGCGAGAGCTCAGGCTGGGTTCTGCTCATTTTCTTGCGGGGTCCATGGCACGTGATTACTGCATGCGCTCCCAAGCCGTGAACTTAGCCAAACTCAAGACGATCCCGAGCCCTCAGCCCATACCCTAAACCTGAAGCCCTAAACCCTAAACCCTAAACCCTAAACCCTAAACCCTAAACCCTAAACCCTAAACCCTAAACCTGAAACCTGAAACCTGAAACCTGCAATTATAAGCCTGAAGTTCCTGTTGCCCTCACCTTCGACGCAAGTCCCAAACCTTCAGTTCAGCCCAAAAGCCCTCGAGGCTCACCAACACTATCCCTGAAGCCGTAGACCAGGGTTTTAGTTTACGGGTGTGGCGTTTGGGGTTTTGGGGTTGGGGGTTTACAGTTTACGGTTGGGGTTTTGGGGTTTTGGGCTTAGAGTTTACGGGTTGGGGTTTTGGGGTTCTAAAAGGTTTTTGGGGTCTTGCAAGTCATGGGCTTTTCGTCCACGTCCTAAACCCTAAACTCTAAACCCGGAGCCCTAAACCCCAAACCCTCTAAAC